AGATAGATAGATAGATAATGAAAAGTCCGAGATAGATATGAACAGACATATATATATATATATATATATATATATATATATATATAGTCTTAAGATGTGCTATATTTATGGGATAAAGTGCTCAATATCAGAGATAGAGCGTGTATAAATATAAAAGTGAACATAAAGTCAACACTTAGAGGAGACAGTCTGTTTCATGCTAGATGCAATCGTCAGGCCACCTGACGAGTGCATCTAGCATGAAATATAAAGTGTTTTCTATGTTCACTTTTATATATATAAATATATATATATATATATATATATATATATATATATATATATAGAGAGAGAGAGAGAGAGAGAGAGAGATGTGAACAGACTGAGATCGATAGATAGACAAACAGGCAGACAATCAGGCAGAGATTGTGTTCTTCCTTGATTAAATTTGGTTCCATGATTTAGCCATTTTTGGCAAAGCACTCAATAAGAATCGAACTCAGTATACCTGACGATTGATAGATATTCGCTGGCTGTGTTGTGTGAACGGGAATATCTCTGATGAAAACCTATGCTAATTTCAAAGATGGTGGTCATTTTTCCCGCCATTTTTTCCCACCTCGAATAGGAACAGCGTTCTTTTGGCTTTATGGCATATTTCTCTTCCTCTTTATTTCTTAAATCAAAACATTTCGGTCATTTTTCTATATTCTCAGCTGCTTATTTCTTTCGACTTTTAGAATGCAGATTCCATGCATTTTTTATGACTGCATTATGAAGTGCACCTCCTTGTTTGTTCTCTCGTTGAGTCTAGAATGGCGATGCGTTAGCACCCAACAACATAGATTTTAAAAGTAGGAAAATGTGTTACACAAATTCTAAAAAATAGAAAGACCTGATGCAGCATGCATCTGAGGCTGTTTGAAGAATCCAGCGGCTGATACATTGTATAAAGACAATAAAGAGGAAAATACAGTAATGAATATATTTTATCTCATATCTTTTTAATACAAGAAAGCCGAAGAATAAATCTAACGAAAAAGATAGAGATAGATGATAAATATACACTAGGCTGTTTAGACTTGTCTGGAAACAGTACAGGAGAAGGACTAATCTGAATTCAAACACAGAAGAAAGCAAATGATTCTACTATCTTTCTCAAGAAGTCGTGAAAATTCACAGATAATAAAGAAAAAGAATATGTGGAGAGCCACGATCTGTATGAAGCTTATAACGCTAAAATCAATCTTTTACATTTATCCCTAATAATACAGACTTGTTAGCATTCCTAAAGAGATGCATATCGTCTACTGACATTAGTTATTGGTTTTTGAGCACTGGTAAAAAAAAAAGCCAATTTTAAATGTTATTTTTTTTTATAACAGACAGCTCCTCGGTACTTGAAACACTAGTGTTATACAATCTTCTTATACCAATGCCTCCATATTAAACTAATCTTTGTAAGTAATTACATATTTATTGTTTCTTTAACATGTTTATGTCGCAGACTATTTCACTAGTGGAGTGAGTTCGAAATAAGAAGATTGTGCTGCGCCAATCCTGTTTGCATTAAAAATGCACGTTCTAAATCACAGCTTTCGTATGAGTTCGAACACTTCCCAGTGGATCCAGAGGAAAAAAAAACTTACACATCTTGTCCAAGGTACGTGTCCTATCGTCTCTTTCTTTCTCGTTGCCTTTATTATTTTCACTTTCATTCATTTGTTTATTCCTCTTTATTATTTGAACTTTTCATTTTTATTTCTCTTTCTTTCTCTTTTTCTTCTGTTTCCTCGTCTTTTGTTATTTCACATTATGTTTTCTTTCCTACTTCATCCTCAGATCCACCTTTTTTTATTTCTTTCTGTTCTGCTGTTATAAAACTATGCCGTAACACTTAGTCCTTTGGTTCTGTTGAGCGATGGTACTCGAATCGACGAGCTGATAAATATAAAGAAAGTCATTAAAGACCATTTAAATTTCTACTGAGAACATTTTCGCTGTCTGGCATATTAAAAATGAAACCGGTGGCAGAAATTCAATAGTCACAGAATCCGACGCAACCTGTAGAATACGAAGGTTTGTGATACTCATTAGCACCAATCAACTTTTTTTTTCTCCAAATACGACTTTTTACATATGTTTTGATGATTCATAAAATCACCAGGAGTCGAGTAAATAAAATTCTGACAAGCAAATGTTAACAATTTGGTTTTGCGATATATCAAAATCCGCAAAGTCTTTTTATTAAAATCTTATTTTCATTAAGCAAACATTTTGCCTTTCTCTACATTTTTTGTTAATCTGAAGATTGCCATAATATTGTGTAGCCAATAAATGTTGGCTGTTGCTTTAAGGCTGATCTGAAATTATGAAAAGCTTTATAATTTTTTAGATATTTTATAGAGTTGCCTGTTTTGGTATCCTTTTCTCATACCTCGGATTATGCCAACCCCTTTTTTCAACACCACTGAATATGCCAACAATTTGACCAATTGCAATTAATACAACGAATTCCTTAATATATCCAAGAATGAATAATCGAAAATACCCCATTATATTGTTCATATTACATATTACATATGTGTTTCAATTTATTCAAATTGAATCGTACATCGCACCTTCGCTCTCATTAGTCCCGCCATATTTCTACGTGTCCTGACGCAGACCGCAGGGGAATAATTCTCCGAGGTAAAGATAGGTTTTCGAAAGAAAGTTTGGACGAGAGATTAGATCTTCAAAATAAGGAACATTAAGGAAAAGGTACGTAAGGATAAAATGTTCACCTGTATATGGTACTGATTGATGACAAGTAAGCTTTTGATTCAGTTCGACACTTAACTTTATAAAATGTACTGAGGAATATAGGAAACTATTAAGCAGTTGTTAACTTATTGAAAAAATTATACGGTTGCCGGCGCACAGTGGTTAGTGTGTGTGTGTGTGTGTGTGTGCGTGTGTGTGTGTGTGTGAGCGTGCGTGCGAGTGCGTGACGTGTGTGCGTGTGTGTGCGCGGAGCATCTGACGGAATGTGCTTCAACTTCTATTCAGAAAAGGCTAGCAATGGGAATCAGAAGGACTTTCCTGAATAGAAATGACCAGTGATGACCGCAATCGCTATAACCTATGCTATAACAGTTTGATCAAAAGAGTCTCTGGTTTGTATCAGTTGGAGGTCAGGTCATGTCAGCCACTGTCGAGCTGTTGCAGATAAGCATTCAATATCGAGGAGTCACGCTGGCTCAAGTGAAGATATTCAAGTAAACGAGAACAATCGTAGATCAAACAGTGAATGATAGCTATGACAACATGACTCTGTTAGGAGCAGAAATATCTGCACTTCCTAGGTCTCTTAACACACAAAGGCATCAACATGAAACTCCTGAAGACTCTAGTGTGGCCGGTGGCACTGTATTGCTGCAAAACCTGGACACCGAACGCAACCAATGTTGACAAACTGAGACAAAATTCGAGACAATATGTGACATGCGGGCACTGCACATAAGATGGACGGTCAACAAAACAACGAGTCTGTCTTTAAGGACGGGGAAACAGGGAGGCTGTTGATTGCGACCATTAAGAAGTAAAAATTGAAATACTTTAGCCATATCAAGGCCCAGAACCTGTGAACGTACGTCATAGAGGGAGAAATCGATGGGAAGAAAGCGTGGGGTAAGACCAAGACGACACTGAACTGATTATATCAGAGACTGAACAGGGAAAATGTTGACAGAGTTCACGGTCGTGGCCAGGGAGAGGACAGAGTGGAGAGCATTGGTGCAGTTGTTTGTGGTCATCGACCTTCAGCAACGAGGATAGGAAGAAACAAGCAAACAATCGTACAGGTAATAAAGCTGGTTTACTGCAAATGCATATGTGCAAAAGTTCAAAAATAAGTAAATGTATCATTAATAATCAACTTCGATATTGATGTCCTTGATATTCTAGTTGGACATTAAAACTGACCGATACTTTCCTTTCACATTCATATGACTACAATGATGGTGAATACCAACACGCGATACATAATTTCATATCTCTTAACACCTGTTCACACAACACAAGCGATTCTTAACAGGCCACATCCATCTATGCGGTGGACGTCTTTTGGTGTGCCACTGATGCCCTTACAATGTTTCGTATATGATGAGCATCTGAACGATGCGACCGTCCAGAACCTGATCTACGGGTGAAGCAATGTTTATTTATCTGTTGCTAGTATCAATGAACAATTGTCCAAGTGTAATAGTTCTCCAAAAGGAACACCCGGCTTTTCGAAGGTCCCCAAAATCGACTTCTACCGAGTGGCACAAAAGGGACATTTGTGCATCTCCGTGGCACGAAACAATTTAGGCCATACGGAACTTTATCGCTTTCTGTGTGTCTCTCTCTAAATCTCAGAGAGAGAGAGAGAGAGAGAGAGAGAGAGAGAGAGAGAGTTCTTTTAAAATTATATCGGAATATCTATTACCCTAAAGCATGCAAATATTACATTCAGGTTAAAATAGGCATCGTCCTTTAGAGTACTTCAACTTGATTACCTGTTAACTTATACATACACACACACACACACACATATATATATATATATATATATATATATATATATATATATCTGTGTGTATGTTCCTACGCGACTAAATAACTATTACTGTGTAAATAATCGTATTGTATATGCCTATAAGTGTTGCATATTTAGCTGTGTTTTTCTGTATGTGTTTGTGTATACCTGTATGTTCCAGTTTATACGTCTGTCCGTGTTAATGTTTATATGTAATGGCTGCAAGCATTAAGCTTGAGTGGTTGGATCAATTCGCTCGGTAAGGTCTGAGTCTTGCCATTTGCATTTTGATATTGCCGGCGACCATCTTGCGTGGGTGCGGGTAGGTGGTAGGACCGCTTGTGACATCTCGCTTCACAAGATGGTGGTCATGGGCGCGGACCGTCACTTGCTTCTCATCCTCTACGCATGACACGTGCTCCTTTCCCTGCGCTAAAATCCTCGGATTATCCCACCAACAATGATGGCCTACCTTTGCAGCATCAACAGCAGCGACCGCAGCAGTCAATGGATTGACATCATCATCATCATCATCATCATCAGAGTCGCAATATCATTCTCTCTTTTTCTTTCTGGTACCCACTTCGGACGTCGTCATTACAGTCACTGTCACGACGATGACAATGACGTCCGCACAAATAATAGCGACGACGTGAGCGTGAATCGAGGTCGAGCACCGGCGGGGGGGGGTATTGGAACTGGGCCAGATAGACAGAAAAAGTCAGTGAAGAAAGACAGAGGGTGAGTTCGATAGGCTTAAATAGAAAAACACTCTCTTTCTTCTCATCGGAACTCTCCTTTTATAGCCATTGATTTCAGTATGTCCAAATCTATCTCACTCTGTTCATATTTTTATTTCTATCTCTCTGTTTATCTTCCCTCTCTCTCTCTGTCTGTCTAACGTTACTCATATCTATCTATCTATCTATCTATCTATCTATCTATCTATCTCAGTCTATTCATATCTATCTCTCTATGTGAAAATACTCCCCGCTACATTTTAATGTCGGGATCCTTGAACTTTGTTTCAGCTCCTTTTGGACACAGGTTTTCCCTCAGAAACATTCGCTTTCTCGATGACATGATTTCCTCCAACAACCACACACCCTAACACTATGCGTAAGATTTGATGGGGTTGATCGGGTTAATTAGTTTTAGCGCAATTTTCCTCAATGCTCAATATATATATATATATATATATATATATATATATATATATATATAAGCTTTCGGTCTGAAGAGATGAATATATATATTCACAAAATAAAGTATAACTGAAATGGATCTTTAAGGTTTTCTTTTTGATTTATTATTATTATAAGGCTCTGTAGGTTACATTGAACTCTTTATGGATTAAGAACCTCCTTGGAATTATACCTACCAATCACAAATTGGTTATATATATATATATATATATATATATATATATATATATATATATATATATATATATATGTATGTATGTATATGCCTGCCACACACACATGCACATACACACACACACACGGCCCGCATATTTATAAAAATAATTTCTTCCGGTTTGAGCCATATTCATTGCTACAATTTTAATCAGTTCCACTTAACTAAGTAAATAATTCCATCTTCATTTCTTTATTTATTATTTATTAATTTGTTTTGTGGCTCCAATCATCTGAAAGAAACTGAAGCCTTTCAAAGTGCTTCATGAAAATTTTTAATTCTGCATTGTTTATTTACTAAACTTTGTTAGTCTGGCACAAGGTAATAAGTGTAGGGAATCAAGAGAGGTTCAAATTTATTCGGAGTGAACCATTGTGTTACGGTTGGTAATCTAGATTTCTCATCGATTTTATTGATATATTCGCGTTCCATTAAATTTTATTTTAAATGCCAAACAACAAGAGACAAGCACAGAATGTATGTTTCGTTGTCTTTAAATTCATGAAATGTTTAGTTCGAGATATTTGTATATTTAATAACAATTTATCTGATTATTAATACTCAATTAAAAACTAGAATTTCAAATATTCAAGAGGCATGTTAGCCTACCTGGGAGATAAACACTATACAATCTTCATTGCTCTATGGTTGACTAAGCTTAGTCAATATATACATTTCAAAGTTTCCAACCAGTTATCAAGGTGATAAATATGTTTGTAATGCCAGTATTTTTATTTTCTAACCAACAAAAATAGTTTTGAGTTTTAATTATCATCGTTATTATGAGGATCTGAGTTACGTGTGTTTTGTTATAAGAAAAAAAAAGGAGCATTGTAGCGCCTTTTTAGCGTAACACCCATAAAATGCTTTATCTTGAAAAATAAAGTCTAATCTCCGGTTTCCAAATAATTTTTGATTAATTATAAATCGACAAAAAATATATGTCCAAGGGAATTAAATCCAGGTCTATTAATTGTGAATTGCAGAATCCATTCCCTGAACTTTTATTATGAGAATATAAGAAAATAAGTAGAAAACAATTCATAACGCGTTCTTTCTTCTCCATTCATCGTCGTAGAATAACAATGACGATGCTTTAATAATATTTCATAATAATAATTACATTTAGTGATAATTTCTTTTCGCAAATAATTACAATATGGATTCTGTAATATAATAGAAAATATTATAAATTAAATAGTAAATGTTTTATAATATAATAGAAAATATGTGCTACTATAATTATATCATCACTATATATATTCTATAGCTAGTAAATTGTCATCGAGTAGAGGCCGCTAAAGGAGGTCTTTGAGTGAGTATTTGAAAAATGGATTTATGGTCTAAAACAACAAGTAAACGTCTCAAGTGTTTTATTGATTTCAAGTTTATTTACATATTACAAATCAGCTTCAAAATAAAAGAATAAATGTACATTTTTCAGACTTCGGCTTCACTCTGTAGAAAAGTCAAAGAAGTTCTCGGAGAGGAGAAAGAGAGTTGAAAGAGAAGAAAGAGATAATAAAAAAAAGGGAATTATAGAGGGAATGATAAAAGAAATAAAAATACAAAAGACGAAAGATTCATTAATATCGCAAGAGGGAACGAAAGATGAACTTGGATTTGGGATAAAGAAAGAAAAAAAGAAAGAAAGAAAGAAAGAAAGAGCGAGTGGGAAGAGAGAAAGGGGGATGGAGTTTTATAAACGTCTGCATTCCATTCTTTAAAATACATAATCAAGCAGTATTGACTATTATTACAAAATAACAAACCCAAGCAAAATCGCCTTAAACCTTCTATGTGACTTTTGCTTTCAGGATGCCGGCGTTTATAACCCTCCACAACTTCCTATGCTTCTTAGTAATGATTGATTTTTTACTATTCCTCTCCTTATTTTTTGCTATCCATTTACACAAGTTTGTTCGATAGGCTACTTGCTATTTTCCTCTGCTCATCTTGTTTTCAATATGCTCAGTGAGTATCAAATTTTCCAAGTTTTCTTTTCTCATTACGTATCCTAAACTTTCCGATTTTATGTATAATTGTCTTTTTCGTTTCCTTTTATTTAAAGGAAAAATGTCATCGCTGCTTACATACTCCGTCCATAAATATATTTCTTAGAAAAAATATGAAATTAATTTAATAAAAACTATGGAATACCTGCTTAGCCAACATAGTTGCATACAATATCCACTGGTGCTGGTGATCAGTGTTCGAACTTAGATAAAAGCAAGTTAATTTTCACAGCAACCTTTAGCTTCCAGTTGGAAAATTGCCGCATCACAGTCTTCCTATTTCGATGACTGTGATTGGCTCCAATTTGACTGTGCGCTGAACGAAGATAAATTCAATAAAGATGTTAAATATAAAAAAAACAAACACGTTTAGAATAAAACTGGGATTAATGTCATTTTGGTGCTACTGTATCTTCCCTTAGATGCTGACATGCTCTTTCTTGTCTCGAGTGAAGCAATAAATCGTGAATTGTTCTCGGTCTTTGCTCTATTCGCTTTATGACTAGTCTGTAAGTCTGTGGACTTTACAAAAATACTACAGTGAAAAATGTAAACACACTGTCAGCCAATAAGACTTCAATCTGTTTTGTTTTTCAGATAAAAATGCCGTTAGAAATAAATAGGATTGAACAACTGAAATTTATTCGGAAGAGCGAAATTGAAAAAGAACAAAATTATTAAGAACAAATATATATATATATATATATATACATTTTCTGGAATACACTTTCTATGTTTAATATATGTTTAAAAATGAATTCGTTTGTTCAGAGAATATCTTCCTACGGTTCATTCTAAATGTGAGAAAATATTTTTACGTAGGAAAAATGTCTTTGGTTGTGTTTACCTTGTGAAATCTCTTTCTTTGAAAGTGAATTGATGGCGGAAGTGACATAAAAATTCTCTCCAACAATTGGTCTGTAGAAATGGACTGTGAGAACATGAGCACTGGGTCAGAACATGTTGAAACGTCTGATCTTCAAATCACTTCAAAAAAAAGTTCTTTTAAAATCTCACGAAAATCATGTTGTCAAAATTCTATAAGATATTAAGGCGTTCGGAAAATAGTGACGCATTTCACATCTATGAATTATGAACCAATCAATGAATATAGAACTATTTTGAATGGCATGAAACCATGTCTAATATTACTTGACTCATATCATCTCTTTTATTCGACAGTGTGCCATTTATAGCCCATGGAAGATTCAGTCAGTTATGTGTCATGCGTGATACACGCTTAGGCGATCATGTATCTTTTGATACATGACTGACGAGGCAGATGTTTTTCCCGCAGTAAGTTGCCATTTCTTTCTGCGGTAGACCAGTTGTCATCCAAGGCTATAGAACCTACTATTTAGCAATAGCTGGGGGAAGAAGAAGTTTCATACCTTTCCCAAGGGTATTATTTCATAAGTGTACGTAATGGATTCGACTGGAATTCGAACTCGGCTATCCGATTACTCAATCCAAGCCGCTATCAACCGTGTCTCATGGAGGATTATAACTTTAAAAAGAAACCTAATCGCAATTTCTTACTGTATGAATTCTGAAAGGGTAGTTCTGCCACAGATGCATTTAAAAACATTTCTGCAATATATACGGATACAATGAAATCTAGTATATAATATCTGTAGTTTAAAAGGTTTAATGTGGCGATTGTGACATTTCCAACAAGCCTAGCTCTGAAAGACAACTCACTGTGAATGAAAATCTTTAGAGAGAGACTATTTGAATCGCGTCAAATTACCAGATATTTGACTAATTCGACTAAAGTTAATGTGTCATTTTAAAGTGTTCACAATTATCTCGAGCGAATTGGGTAAACTTGCAAAGACGGAAATTGCATTCTGCCTTAGCTTTCGCTTGAGAACCAAATACAACATTCTACCATTTGTTGCTTTCTTTTAAAAAGAATGTCATCCTTTTATTTTGACATTACATTGTCACAGGTGATGAAAAATGGGTTTTGCATGTGAAAGGGAAACGAAAAAGACAGTGGTGATCAGAAAACCGGAAACCAGAGTCAACAGCAAAACTATGACTATTCACAATCCTTCCTTTGTGTCTGTTGCAATATGAAAGGTGTTGCCCATTACGTGCTAATAAAAAAATGGATGGAACATCGCTACAGTTTCATCGGATAAAAAAGCATGACATCAAAACCGTCTTGCTTTGGTAAAAAGAAAAGGTGACATTCTCCAGCATTATAATGCAAGGGCACGCTCTGAAAGAAAAACCCAAGAGAAAATAAGATTGTTACGATGGAAGATTCTTAGTTACCGGATTTAGCATCAACAGATTTTCATTTGTTTCGATCAACAGAGAATTTCATAAGTAGCAGAATATTAAGAAATGTTTTCTGAAAAACAAAAACGATTTTTAAAAATGTGTGATGGAAAATTGGTCTAATTTGTAGCAAAACGTAATTAGATTCCGAACTCCCTAATACAGTTTCTGATAGACTTTATTTGGAAATGTTATTAAAGCCAAGTGTCTGTTTATAATTTCCTGGCTTTAATGTGAAATTTATAACAATTACGTCCTGTAAATAACTTTGTGGAGGGTCATTAAAATTCCCAAATTTCTTCGGACAATTGAACGCCATTTTTTATTGGGTTAGCAAAACAATTTGAAATTTATATAGAATCTGTTTAAGATATTATACTTATATATATATATATATATATATATATATATATATATATATATATATATATGTGTGTGTGTGTGTGTGTCTGTGTCTGTGTGTATATGTATTTGTGTGCGTTTGTCTGTGTAGATTTATGCATATTTTATGATTTGAAAATCGTTTGAGGCGTTATAACGCAGTGTTGATTCCTATCTACAATCTATATATCTATCTATCTATCTATCTATCTATGCCTGCTCATCTATATATCTGTCTCAACCTGCCTCATTCTATCTATCTAGACAGCTAGCTATCTCTACCTGCTCCCATCTATCTATCTATCTATCTATCTATCTATCTATCTATCTATGCATTTGTGTGTGTATTCACATCTCTGAAGATGTTTATTATATAGTTGTGTGCGCGTGTATCCATGTCGTTTAAATAATGTCTTTTTGTTGTGTCCTCGACATGAACGTTCCATTGATAACCCTAAAAGGTAAACATATTTTGTTTTGCTGACAACTATCATAATCTAGTCCTAACGAAATTTTATTGCTTATCAATTTTTGTTCATGCTGTTGATTTTTACTATACTCTGACACAAGGCTATATTTAAAGAGTACCACATCACTATTGCAATAAATATAACTGTTTATGATTTCAATTCCGCGGGAGCTGATAGAACGAGGGACAGAAATTAAGAAACCGGGAAAGATAAGTCTGAAATAAATTGATGGAAGGGGAGACACGAACAGATAGATAGATAGATAGATAGATAGATAGATAGATAGATAGATAGATAGATATGAAGCTTTTATTAAAATAATATGAAAGTATTTTCAAAAGACTGCTGATAAAATGTTGGTGTAAGCAGTTCAGGGTGAGTAGCAAAATCAAGGGAAAAAAGTTAAAAACGAGAAAAAACAGAAAAAAATAAAGAAAGAGGAAAAATAAGGCGTAAACAACAAAAAAAATAAATAAATAACGAGAAAATGAATTTAAATTCATTTTCTTCTCTTATATTTTTTAAGCTTCGCTCTATGAAAATAATTGTCTGCGTGATTTTTATTTTGCCCTCTACTATTCTGATTTTTTTTTCTGCTATCAATTTGGTCTAAACAAAATTTCCAATTCCTGAAAGGTCAACTTTGAAATATGGACCAACGCTGAGGAAATCAACCCTGCATAGCGATTCTCTTTGTGTTGCCATTCGCTGGATGATTTGAATTTTTCGTTTATTTTTAGACGTGAATCGATTGAAAAATCTATTAAACAAGCAAGCAAAGTTGAAAAAACTAAAACAAAAACAATGAAGGCGTTTCATAAATCAAACTAGAACGAAATAATCGATTAGTTCTTTATTAATATTTTAAGTTTGATTTTTATAATTTTTTTTATTTGAGTCCTACAATAATATTATGATTAAATTAATTATCCACACAGATAAAAAGTCACATGATTCTATTTGGAGCAGTTATGAATCTGAAATTGCTCATTGTTTTTCAATTAAGAGATTTCAATATTGCCTGAAGGCACCAAGTGACATTATTCCGTCACTGATTCGAACTAGCATCCTTATTATTCTTGTTTTTATCAGTAAATTCTGAAATTTGCTTACAGCTAGAGATTGAGGATCTTAAGTGAAGTATTGTAATTATTCCAAGTATCATTCATCCTAGCATTCTCATCTTCATTATTTTAAGACAATGCATTCGACGGTATTCCTTAGATGTTTTACCTGCATGTGCATTATTATCTCTTTTCCTTCTAATCACATGTAGCCTGGTTCATTCTCTAGCCTTTTTCAGCGAGAATATGTCGTGAAATTATACACACACACACACACACATATATATATATATATATATATATATATATATATTTCAAATAATATATGTGTATTTAAGACATATTTTACATTTATACGTTTTTTTATAGATACAAATATTTAAGTAAATGCTCTCTTTATAATAAACAGTATTAACAACATTTACCGGCCTGAATGTCCGAGAAATTTTCAAAGAAAAAATGTGTATCCTCCGACAGGAATCGAACCTGTATCCTATACGGAACACTTTAACCGATTTAGCCACAGAGAAGCGTTCTGTTAGCAAGGTCGATTTTACTGTTTTTAAAACCAAATTCTCCATGATTTTCTCTCATTCATTCATATCTGCTCAATGCATATCCAAATGTAAACAAATGACGTCATACATTATGAAATGGACAAAGTCCGACAATTATTTAAGATATATTTTATATTTATACGTTCTTTTTATAGATACAAATATTTAAGTAAATGCTCTGTTTATAATGAACAGTATTAACAACAATTACCGGCCTGAATGTCCGAGAAATTTTCATATATATATATATATATCTATAAAAGGGCAATATGAATAAAGACAAAATTTAATAAAAATGGATCTTATACGCAAAAATTTGTCATAAATAGAAATAAATTAAGCTACAACTTCGATCTAAAGAATGTGAAACCTATGAAAAGAGAAATTAACTTAAACGTAAAATTCTTGATTTTCTTTTAAATTTATAGTCATGTATGTTGCCATGGGAAAGGAGAGATTTGAAAAAAAAATCTACGGCGCAGATTTACATTTTGGTAAAATTCGATATCAGTTTTATCAAGAATAATAATTTACTGATTTTTGCTTATTAGACATGAATTTTACATCATTTAACATCATCGATAATTTACCTTTTAACTTTTCAGTTTAGCCTGATGTATATTTATATAGATGCATATTTATGTAGATGTATATTTATTTAGATGTATATTTATGAAAGTTCTTAAAAACGACATTTTTACTTTTGTTTATAAATACTTATTGCTAAATAAAATCTTAGATTTGGCTCGATAAAGTCTATCAGAGGACGAGACTCGTCGGCTAAGGTAAGTTTTTCTTTTTGTCTTTATTCATATACATACATACATACATACATACATACATACGCTTCTCTATCTCTCTGTCTGTCTGTCTCTCTTTCTCTCTCTCTCTCTTTATATATATATATATATATATATATATTAGTTTGTATCATTTTATATATGTATGCATAGAAGTTTTTGGTTAAAGACCAACGGAAATTGTTTATTAAGGAATTTTCTATATTTCGAAACATTTTCCTGGTTTCCGGTACATATTTAAACATAAATTGTCCAATATCTGAGTAATTTTTCAATATACATACCCCCTGTTTCACTAAATGCAATATTATTCTTATACTGTGACCTATTAACAGTCATCTCAATCCTGCCATGTCTACAACCGCCGAGAGATGTAAAAAAAAAAAGTGAATTTTTACTCAGACAATAGCTGTTATATCTTTACACAGACATCATACCGTCCGAACAGAAACATGATATAAGGTTTTGGGGAGAATGTTTTATTTGTATGCCTTCGAATATTATTGCGTAAACAAGCTACTTTAAATAGCAAATTTCATAGCAAGCACTAGCCAGTAGAAACAACAGGATATTATCATATTCCAAAGAAAATATTTAATATGAAATCACTACTTTCATTTGTCATTTTATGAAGGTGGGTGTAAGTTTTATGTGGACAGGATTCTCTTTATTATTTCCAAGTTGCAGATTACGTGAATTTTGACGTTAATATATATATAAAATTAACAAAACTTTTTTTTTGCTTTTACTAAATTCAAATACTTTTTCATGCTTGCAGATACAAAATCGACAGACGGCCATAGTTTAACAGCCAGTTGAATGCGCATGCTCTTCAGAGAAGGAAGTGTGTGTTGCACCAATTTTCCAAATGGAAAACAGAGACTGGCATTTAGAAACTTTTTTTTAACGAGGATCAAATCTGACCACTAAAGCCAGAGTGAAATATGCAACTCTCTTAGCCACAGAACAAATTTTGAATTTTGCTACTTGTGAAATTTTGGGATACTTTTTAAAAAATAAGTTGGGCTAACTTGGGTTACTAGTAAGAAAGTCAATTCCTAATTTAGTAGCGCTGTTTTTCTAAAGGATACAAATTCGTTTCTAGCAGTGAACGCTCATGCCGGGAGACACTGACTAAACTTAATGTAGTCTGGCACAAGGGAATAATTTTCTGTGAGTATTGAAATCATTTCACTTGCAGGAGTAGCTTGCTAAACTTTACAACGGACGTCGTATTAAGCTTAACTGAGCATGATAAGAGGCTGTAATAATGTACCTACCCAGACCTGATTGAAAATATTTAAAAATACTCCGCAATATTAAACTGTTTTCCATCACTCTACGGCATGTTCTTCTTGTATATGTAATGATGTTTTAGTGATTGATTATCAGATTGGTTACCTTTTTTCTATTTTCACGCACCGCGCCAATATGTCTCTATAATCGGTCAATGTACGTATACATGACGTGTGTGCGGGGGTATGGCCTCAGCAATAAAAAAAATGTCTGCCATCTCTACAAAAGCAATTGAAATTGAATGAAATTTGATTTTAATGCCCGTCCAGTCGTTCCCGCCTTTTCCGCAAGGAGATCAATCAGTCAACTTTATTGGCTGCTCGGCCGACAAATTAGTTACTTTATATTTCACTTTTTCCTTTGCATCTGACATTTAAATAAAAAAGGGAAAAATTCTCTCACTTTTGCGTTTTATTTGCATAAAACTGTTTTATTGTTACTTGATTTTTCCTCTCTCCTATTTCGAACATTTTAACTTTCGCACTCTCTCTCACTTTCCATATTTCCCTCTTTCGACCTTTTTCTCTTTTCATTATTTCAAAACTCCATCTCTTCATCCTCTAGTTCCCCCGTCCATTTTAATTGAAATATAAGCAAACATACACATTCACTCAATTCACACACACACAAAATGCAGACATTTACACACACACACACACACACACACACACACACACACACACACATATATATATATATATATATATATATATATATAGACAATTTCTTGAGCAAGACTCTTACTGTAAAGACATTTTTTAGCATTATACTTATTTCTTTTGTTTTCTTTCTCACTTTTTTAAAATTTTTTCCTGCAATTCATGTTTTTTTTACAAATAAGTATTGACTATTTTGAAACATGTTTGTGTTTATTATATACAATTAACGTATATAAATTAAAAACATTGTATATATATTTTTCTTTTCATTTTATAATATTTTATTACTATATATTCCATTGTTCCTCCTCACTTTTTTCCTGTCACATGTTACTCAAACTACAGCCCGTCTTTCTGAAATTAGCAACTTGGTCGAACAATAATAATCGGCTACAACTGGATACACGCGATACCCATAACTCTTTTCATCTATGTTTACTGTCTCACTCCCCCACTCCACCTACTACTAATAATAGACCAGCCTAAAGTTTTTACACCGATCAAAATTTTAAAATTAAGTTTATTTTCATAAAAAGTTTCGCACAGCGAGGAATGAGACA